TTAGTTGTATTAGTAGTATTAGTTGTATTAGTTGTATTAGTAGTATTAGTTGTTTTAGTTGTATTAGTTGTATTAGTAGTATTAGTTGTATTAGTAGTATTAGTAGTATTAGTAGTATTAGTTGTATTAGTTGTATTAGTTGTATTAGTAGTATTAGTAGTATTAGTAGTATTAGTAGTATTAGTTGTTTTAGTTGTATTAGTTGTATTAATAGTATTAGTAGTATTAGTAGTATTAGTAGTATTAGTTGTATTAGTTGTTTTAGTTGTTTTAGTTGTTTTAGTTGTATTAGTTGTATTAGTTGTATTAGTTGTTTTAGTTGTATTAGTTGTTTTAGTTGTATTAGTTGTATTAGTTGTATTAGTTGTATTAGTTGTATTAGTTGTATTAGTTGTATTAGTTGTATTAGTAGTATTAGTTGTATTAGTTGTATTAGTTGTATTAGTTGTATTAGTTGTTTTAGTTGTATTAGTAGTATTAGTTGTATTAGTTGTAGTTGTATTAGTTGTATTGGTAGTATTGGTTGTATTAGTTGTATTAGTTGTTTTAGTTGTATTTAGTAGTTATTAGTTTGTTAATTTAGTTAGTATTAGATTTGTATTAGTTGTATTAGTTGTATTAGTAGTATTAGTAGTATTAGTAGTAGTAGTAGTATTAGTTGTTTTAGTTGTATTAGTTGTATTAGTAGTATTAGTAGTATTAGTAGTATTAGTAGTATTACTAGTATTAGTAGTATTAGTTGTATTAGTAGTATTAGTTGTATTAGTTGTATTAGTAGTATTAGTTGTATTAGTAGTATTAGTAGTATTAGTAGTAGTAGTATTAGTAGTATTATTATTAGTAGTATTAGTAGTATTAGTAGTATTAGTAGTAGTAGTAGTAGTAGTATTAGTAGTAGTAGTAGTAGTAGTAAGTTAGTTAGTTTAGTAGTATTAGTAGTAGTAGTAGTAGTTAGTATTAGTAGTAGTAGTAGTAGTAGTATTAGTAGTATTAGTAGTATTATTAGTAGTAGTAGTAGTATTAGTAGTAGTAGTAGTAGTAGTAGTAGTAGTATTATTAGTATTAGTAGTAGTAGTATTAGTAGTAGTAGTAGTAGTAGTAGTAGTAGTAGTAGTAGTATTAGTAGTATTAGTAGTAGTAGTATTAGTAGTATTAGTAGTATTAGTAGTATGTACTCTATATCCACGTTGCTCTGTTGGAGGAGGGACTTCAGTGTTTCTTGAGCACATGGTGAAAACGTATTGTGTCTTGAATTCAGCTGCTTGGTGTTTCATGTCTGTCCCCGCGCTGTGAGCCGTTTGCTCCTTAAAGCCTCACCTCCGTGCTTTGATCTACAGGCTGTGAGCCTTTCTGTTTGAAAGAAGTCTCATTCTAACCTCCACGCTCAAATGTAAGAGTGCTTTAAAGAGTGCTTTAAAGAGTGCTTTAAACATGTTTGATGGTTTTTATAATCTTGTCTTTGTATTTTTACGTCAGCCTGCAACACTTTTCCTTTTGTTCATCTCAAATGAAAACGAGCGAATGATTTTCAGAAGCCTCACCTCCGTGCTTTGATCTACAGGCTGTGAGCCGATCGCCCTGCGGTACCTGGAGTGGAGCAACCCCGAATCCATCATCCAGGTGGGTTTCATCTTTTCATGCAATATTTTTATTTTCTTGCAAACATTTGTTATAGTTATGAATGCACTATTTTATATATTTTCACCCTTTTATATATGTAGTTTATTTCATATGTCTCATGGCATCGTGATGTCCCCCTCCCCTCTGCAGGTGGTGTTCTCCTGCCTCGGCATCCTGGTCACCTCCTTCGTGGCGTTTATCTTCGTGTTGTACCGCGACACGCCGGTTGTGAAGTCCTCCAGCCGCGAGCTGTGCTACATCATCCTGGCCGGGATCTTCCTGGGCTTCTTGTGTCCGTTCACACTCATCGCCCGACCCACGATCTTCTCCTGCTACCTCCAGCGCCTCCTCGTCGGTCTCTCTGCCGCCATGTGCTACGCTGCTCTCGTCACAAAGACAAACCGCATCGCACGCATTCTGGCCGGCAGCAAGAAGAAGATCTGCACCCGGAAACCTCGCTTCATGAGTGCGTGGGCGCAGGTGGTCATCGCCTCCATCCTGGTGAGCGTTCAGTTGACTCTGGAGGTCGCTCTGATCATCATGGAGCCGCCAGAACCCGTTAAGTCCTACCCTAGCATCCGTGAAGTGTTCCTCATCTGCAACACCAGCAGCATGGGGGTCGTGGCGCCGCTCGGATACAACGGGCTGCTCATCCTCAGCTGCACTTATTACGCTTTTAAAACCCGAAACGTGCCGGCTAACTTCAACGAGGCCAAGTACATCGCCTTCACCATGTACACCACCTGCATCATCTGGCTGGCCTTCGTTCCCATTTACTTCGGGAGCAACTACAAGATCATCACCACGTCGTTCTCCGTGAGCCTCAGTGTGACGGTGGCTCTGGGATGCATGTTCACGCCCAAGATGTACATCATCCTGGCCAAGCCGGAGAGAAACGTGCGCAGCGCCTTCACCACCTCGGATGCTGTGAGGATGCACGTGGGCGACGGGAAGATGGCGTGCCGCAGCAGCAGCTTTCTGAACATGTTCCGGAGGAAGAAGAAGGGCAGGTGGGTGCAGTAATTATGAGTGAGCATGCTCCAGAGGCTCTGAGCTGCTGGTTCTCTGTATTTAATGTTAGAGAAACACCTGAGCTGCGCGGCGCTCAGTCCTCAGACGTTCAACCTGAGGAGTTAAATTAAAACCAGCATCTCTGAGCCGAGGGAGCAGATGATCTAATCTGCAGACGAGAGGCTCCTGCAGGGTCCACACACCTTCACACACACACCTTATCACACACACCTTATCACACACACCTTATCACACACACCTTAATAAGATCACACACACCTTCATATTATCACACACACCTTAATACATGTGCTTATATACTTGCACACATATATGAATACGTATTGATAATAAGGAGTAAAGTGTGGATACTGAAGGATTTTGTAGCTTTAGCTTTCTTAAAAACATTTCCAGGACCCTGCAGAAACCCTGAAATATATAAACAACATCTTTTGTATTCTCAATATTTTACAACACAAACCATAAATGCTGTCTTGTCTCCACCTTTGTGGGTTCCCTTGCAGTAATTTGTGTCCATCTTTATTCTGTTCATATAGTTCTAATGGAAAGTCTGTGTCATGGTCTGAACCAGGTGCCAGGCTCCCTCCCAAAGGAGATCACACGTGGCACAGACTGTCAGTGCACGTGAGGCGGCAGGAGGCCAATCAGACAGCCGTCATCAAACCCTTAACCAACTCCTTCCTCAGCACTAAGACTCTGTACAACGTGGCCGAGGAGGAGGACGAGGGCGAAGCCGTGCGGTACAACCCCCCCGTCACCCCTCCCATGATGCACCAGGGTCAGATCCCGAGGGGGGAGGAACCGTACGGACCTCGCGCAAAAAACACAAAAAACTGCGTCTTCGTGGAGCGTCCGCAGGTGGACGAATTCAACATACCCAAGTTAAATGACATGATTAGCATTCCTGAGGCGGTTAGTGGTGGTGTGTTAGTGTACCAGCACCAGGAGCCCCTCCTCTACCAGGAGCCCCTACTTCAGCTGGAGCCCCACCTCCTCCACGAGGAGACCCACCTCAACCAGGAGACCCTCCTCCTTCACGAGACCCTCCTCCACCAAGAGACCCACCTCAACCAAGAGACCCTCCTCCTCCACGAGACCCTCCTCCACCAGGAGACCCACCCTCACCAGGAGCCCTTCCTCCATCAGGAGCCCCTTCTCCACCATAAGCCCCACCTCCACCTTGAGAGCCACCACCCCCAGGAGCCCCTCCTCCACCAAGACACCCACCTCCACCAAGACACCCACCAGGAGCCCTTCCTCAACCAGGAGCCCTTCCTCCACCAGGAGACCTTCCTCCGCCAGGAGCCCCTTCTCAACCATAAGCCCCACCTCCACCTTGAGAGCCACCACCCCCAGGAGCCCCTCCTCCACCAAGACACCCACCTCCACCAAGACACCCACCAGGAGCCCTTCCTCAACCAGGAGCCCTTCCTCGACCAGGAGCCCTTCCTCAACCAGGAGCCCTTTCTCCACCAGGAAACCCACCTCCACCAGGAGCCCCTCCGTCACCAGGAGCCCCACCTCCACCAGGAGCCCCACCTCCACCAGGAGACCCACTTCCACCATGAGCCCCACCTCCACCAGGCGCCCCACCACCACCAGGAGCCCTTCCTCCACCAGGCTACCCACCTCCAACAGGACACCCACTTCCACCAGGAGCCCTTCCTCCACCAGGAGCCCCACTTCCACCCAGACACCCACCTCCACCAGGAGCCCCACCTCCACCAGGAGCCCCACCTCCACCAGGAGCCCCACTTCCACCCAGACACCCACCTCCACCAGGAGCCCCACCTCCACCAGGAGCCCCACTTCCACCCAGACACCCACCTCCACCAGGAGCCCCACCTCCACCAGGAGCCCCACTTCCACCCAGACACCCACCTCCACCAGGAGCCCCACCTCCACCAGGAGCCTGACTCCCCTTCAGAGGAGGAAGATGAGGCTCAGTTTGGGCTCCTTCACGGCTACATATACAACAACGCCCGGATCCACGACAGCGACGGGGACTCGGTGGACGGGAAACTCTCCGAGGAGGCCCTCATGCCTCCGTCTCCGTTCAGAGATCACAACGCTCCTCCTCCCGTGAACCCCTTCCCAAATTCAGAGTCCATTCTGTGCAGCCCGACCAACATGACGTACGCTTCCGTCATCCTCAAAGACTTCAAGCAGAGTGCCTCCACTCTGTGAGGGAGAAATAGGAGATAAGATAAGAAGTGCTTTATTCATCCAAAATTGGCACATTTTAGCGAGAATCATGTAGGGGAGATCGGGGAGGGTTGACATGCTGCAAATGTGCGGAATTGGGTTCAAGGGTTCAGCTTACAGGATCATTCCAGCAATATGTGCCCAAACGAAATTGGTGTGAATGCTGAGAAGCAAAAACAATAGTTATATATATATAAAAAACGTCATAATTCTAAAAATATGAACCATATTTCATCCAAATGTTACTATAAAAATACTCACCTTTTTATAGGATCATGTCCCGATTTGTAGAGAGATCGGAGTTTGAAAAGGGTTGTAGCTGAAATGTGCAATATTGGGGTCAAGGGGTCAGATTACAGGATCATTCCAGCATTATGGGCCCAAACGAAATTGGTGTGAATGCTGAGAAGCAAAAGTACCGCATTGACCCGATTATAAGACGGGTTTCTTTTTTTTCTAGAACAAAATCTGACAAAAATGAGTCATTTTATATTCGGGGTCTAGACTTTTCGATGTTATTAAACAGTCTCAACACCAGATGGCGCCAAACGAGTCTTAAAGTAACAGCAACAGGAGAGAAAGTAGGCGAGTTAATAAACAAGAGAGGAGAAGATACGATGCCAATTTTAAGATAATGTGATCAACGAAGTCATCGAACAACCGTCGAGCAGCAAAGAAATATGAAATGTAAACCAGTCAGAGAAAAGCTTTCCAAGGTATCTTCCAAAAATGAGTCTTGAAAAAGACGGGTCGTCTTATAATCGGGGTCGTCTTATAATCGGGGCCGTCTAATATTCGGGGTCGTCTTATAATCGGGGTCGTCTTATAATGGGTCAATACGATAATAGCTATATAAAAACGTTCATTAGTCCAGAAATATTAACCACAATTCATCCAAATTTTACTAAAGAAATCTCCACCTTTTCATAGCCGTGGCTCAGTGGGTTAGAGCGCTGATCTTCAGATGCTGGTTAGCGTCGGCTGTACAGCACCCATCATCCATCCATCCATCCTCTCCCGCTTATCCGTGGTCGGGTCTCGGGGGTAGCAGTTCCAGCAGAGAGCCCCAAACCTACCAAACGAAGGAGGAGCGGCTCAACTCCGAGTCCCTCCCTGATGACCGAACTTCTCACCTTATCCCTAAGGGAGACGCTAGCCACCCTGCGGAGAAAACCCATCTCGGCCGCTTGTATCCTTGGATCTCGTTCTTTGGGTCATGACCCATCCTTCATGACCATAGGTGAGGGTAGGAATGGAAATGGCCCGGTAGACAGAGAGCTTTGCCTTCTGGCTCAGCTCCCTTTTCGTCACAACGGTGCGGTAAAGCGACTGCAGTACCGCTCCCGCTGCTCCGATTCTCCGGCCCATCTCACGCTCCATTGTTCCCTCACTCGAGAACAAGACCCCGAGATACTTGAACTCCTTCACTTGGGGTAAGGACTCATTCCCTCACCTTGCGGAGGGGGTCTCAACTGAGCCGAAAATGCGGCGCACCTATGCGCTTATGTGTGGTGCCGCACGGTTTTGCCGCTAGGAGGCTCCAATAACACCCCCCCCTCATGTTGGCCAGGGACGGCCCTGACTGCTTAAGTTACATTATTCCCACTTTGACCTTGTTTAGGCTACTGCTGCCCTTTCATCGTCCAGCCAATCAGATGAGAGCAGAATGAAAAGGGGCAAGTTAGCTAGGGAGGTAACCATTTAAACACCACAAAGCTTTACACTTAACGCCCAGATTTTTAAATAAAAACTGTGCCGACCGTCCCCATCCTCTCCTACTTGATATACTTAAGTTTATGACCTGTATATGATGAGATATAAGGATATAAGGAAAGTCATGTTTCACTCGTTGAATGATAGCTGTTAAGAGTGAACAATGCGCTGTATTTTAAAACGTTTAAATGTTGTCTTCAATAGTGGAGGAAATTGCCAATTAAATATTTATATGCTCAAATAAGATTTTAGGATAACGTTACGGACGACATGCTTCAAACATTTATATTAATTATTTGTCATTATCTCTAAATGTCATTGTTGTTTTCTTGACCTGACCATTTTAATTTCGTCGTCTATGAAAAACGAAATTTGATATTTTTTTCCCAATGATTTTTATTTATTTAGGATTTCTTTTAAGGAACAAAACAAAAACAAACATGCTTCGTCTGTAATAATACAAGGTACATATTTGAAATAATTGTGTAGACCATATATAAGACATAACCCTAATAAGACAAATTCAGCTTTTTGAGCCTTTTACCAAAACAATGCAATACGGGTTTTGGCGTAGAGCAAGCTGAGGTATATTTATCTTCTTCTGGATATAAACAGATCTTTGGGTCCAGTCAAATCTGCTTTAAATGATCTTCTCTATTTGACCTCGTACCTCTTTTGTGCATCTGGTATATTGTGTTGTATTGGTTTGAATCCACCGGGTCATTACATCTGATATTTTTGAGGTATCGACAAATAACTACGGAAAAAACCGAGATAATAAAATGTTGTAACCATGGCGCTTCGAGGCCTCTGTATTAATAGATGTTGTGCTTTATGAGATCAACAACTAAGTTTGTTTATTTACATTTATTAACATATAGATGTATTTTAGAAAATATAGGCGACATAACAAGAAGTATGCTGAGTTTCAACCCCGTTATTTAAAGCTGAATATAGTTTGTATGTGATGCAAAGAAACAATGTTTTTAGAAAACGTTTTGTGTTTCATATCGTGTGTTTTGTACTTTATAAGGATGAAAAAGGCTTAAAGGAATAATTTGACATTTGGGAAAATACTTATTTGGTTCCTGAAAGTTTGTTAGAGTGATAGATTCAGATTCTTGATGTTTAAAATCTTAGTTTTTGGAGGTGAGACAAACACAGGATGCGCTAAAGTTGGTGCCCCGTGTGAGGCTGAAAGGGAACGTCTACAACAGCTAACTACACAAGAGACACAAAACGATGGGTATTTTTGTCATTATTTAAGTTATTTTACTCTTGAACGTAGACACAGGTCCACACTGCAAGTCTAACCATAGGGTGTTAAATAATAACTCATATTTACATCATGACTAGATAGCTAACGTGAGCTAGCGAACAAGGTAGAGATAAGCGGACGTTAGCTCGCTTGATTTACAGATAGATATAACATTCCATAGCTAAATTGCTAACTAGCTAACCAGCTTACTGACAGGTTAACTGAGTCTCTGGTGAACTTGCAGATTAGTTGTGAAGTATGAGACAGACTTGTGAGGCTTCCTCCTTTACCAGTCTTTATGCTAAGCTATGCTAACGACTGGTGGTAGGTTGATATTGTACATGAGTGGTATCACTCCTCTTTTTCAAACGTTTTGCAAGACGTTCTTTTCCCTAAATGTCACGTTTTTCGCCTAAAGCTGAGATAGCTATATTTTAGATGGGTAGCTAATGTAAGCTAGCTCTGTACAGAGATAGTGAACATTAGCTAGCTTGATTTACAGATAGATGGATGTATAACTTAGCTAGTAAATTAGCTAACGTTTGGCGGCTAACCAGCGCACTGATAGGCTAATTAAATGTGGTTTCTAGGTTAACTTGTTTTTATAAATGTCAAACTGTGGACTTTACGCTTCTTGGGGCGGGGCTTCATACGTTGAATTCAATTGATTGAGGATGCAGATTAGTTGTAAAGTAATAGACCAGTCTTTATGCTAAGCTATGCTAATGGATGGTGATAGCTTCATATTTAGCCTGGTATCAATCCTCTTTTCAAACTTTTTGCTGGACGTTCTTTTTACTAAATGTCACGTTTTTCGCCTTAAGCTGAGAAAGCAGAATAGACATGTTTCTTGTTGGAGAAAAGTGTGATTTACAGATAGATACTGTAGATAACATTCCATAGCTCAATTGCTAACTTTAGTTAGCGAACCAGCTCACTGACAGGTTAACTGAGTCTCTGGTTAACTTGCAGATTAGTTGTAAAGTAATAGACCAGTCTTTATGCTAAGCTACGCTAACGACTGGTGGTAGGTTGATATTATACATAAGAGTGGTATCAATCCTCTTTTCAAACTTTTTGCGGGACGTTCTTTTTCCTAAATGTCACGTTTTTCGCTTAAAGCTGAGAAAGCAGAATAGACATGTTTCTTGTTGGAGAAAAGTGTGATTTTGTGACGGATACAGGACTGACTGTCACTGATGTAGCAGAGGACAAAGTGCCACATTTTCATTAAGATCTGTTTTTATTTTCTACATTTGTCTCATTTTGATGTCAAATTTGTACCTTTTTTATAAATAGACATTTCATAACTGTATAGATTTAAGATAAATGACATGTTTTGTGAATGTATGAATTGTGTATCATATTTTGATATTCAGATGATATCTATATGCATTACAGTATTAGAAATATGCTTTAATTGTGTATTAAGAGCCTCAAACCTGCATAATGTGATAAGTGCTTCTGTTTACTTTAGTGCTATTCTGAATAAGCTATCTGTCGTAAACACAGGATCAATTAACGTCTGCCATTTTAAACAAATATATACAGGATTTAAAATGACTCTTGTTGCTTCGAGTAAATTCAATGTTTTGTATGTTTTTGTCTCCTGTTTTTGACGTTATAAACCAGCGGACTCTCCTTTTCCTGTCCCAAGTATTCATCTCATCAGCTTCAAAGAATACAAGTTGTTTTGGAAAGATGACAATTTTTTTGACATCGAGAAAATAAAACATTCTTGCAATAATCAAGAATAAGCTATTAATTTCAAATGAAAATAGACCAATGTTTAATTCAACTTTATAGGTCTTTATTTATGTATCTGAGAAAAACAACATTTGTTTTCTGAAGTTAATGAAAAATAACTTCTGAAACAAATACAATTACAGAATAACTGTTACGTCCCGGCTCGTGGAAAGTGGAAGGTAACATATAACCAGTTGAAATTGGTAAATAGGAAGTTGTTTTGATGAATGCGCACAATCAAAACAAAAAGGCCACAAAGGCACCGGTTTAAATAAGTAAATAAAGGAACTTAGTGAGACTCTTTAAATAAGAGTTTGCAAGTTTTAGACAAACAAAATAGCCTAAAGAAAACCTCACTTCTAAAGTGGGATAGAAAGAATAAGGCTAACAAAAATAGGCAGTCACCAAAACACAACCTGGGTACAAGCTAACCACAGTTAACGTTTGTATTACAAGATAATCAGAGTTATAAGAACAAGCACAAATATACACACAACCTAGTTAACCACCATTAACACAAACTAGCCGAATGTACCGAGAGACGTCTGCCACAGATTCAGACCTCTCCCGACTAACTGAGGCCACACATTGTTGTAGCTGTCCCCAGAAGGCGCGTGCGGGGATTGGAGAGTCGGGCCCGGCATGCTCCAATCCAGATCTTCGGTCACGCCTGCCGGGAGAGGAAAAGGAAGCTGGCATCCAATGGCGTCTGGGCAACGGCACAGCTCATATACATATAACACACAGCTGCAAACACTGTTACGGCCTGTCTACACTACAGGCATCGAAAAATGCTTTCAACGCTTCGCCCATTCACTTCAATGGGGTGACGTAGAAGATTTTGAATCTTCGCCGAACTGCATTGTGGGGAGCGGAGCATGGCTTTGCAAGCATCGTGAGCATCAAAAGTTGAGCAATGTTCAACTTTTGATGCTCCCGATGCTTTCGCAGCTGGCATCAGCAAATCAAATCCCGTTTATGCAAATCCCGCCAGTACAAGCGCTAGCCAATCAAACCGTGTGCAAGCTGGGAGAGCCAGACCGCAGTTCATTTCCTCATATTCCAAACGAGAAATTACGGTAGCAAATCACCCGGTTCTTTCCGACCAGAACTATTTACCGGGATACAAACCGGAGGAAGCAGGCATGGAGGGAGGTGGCAGAGACAGTGGGGGAAACTGGTAGGTTTTCGCCTGTTTGGGGATTTTATATCCAGTTTACTTCGTTTTAACATTGCTATTGCTTTGTATGTCGGGGGCGGGAGATTCATGTGATTGGTTGTTGCTCGCGTTGCTCGCAAAAAATCGCCAAGCTTCAGACACGCCCAGCTTCAAGATTTTTTTTATGCCTGCTGTGTGGACGGGCCGTTACGGCCCGTCCGCACAGCAGGCATAAAAAAATCTT